GAAAATGGAAAGAAGGACAGGTAGATCAAAAGTCTTTGAGAATTACTAAAATATACAAACGTTTAGGGGTGTTTCAACCCCACTCAATAGACAGCTTGGAGAGCAAATCAGTGGAGTTGCAGGGCGGTTGATCTCGATTTGCACGCTCAGGAAGGACAACACGGGGCAGTCATAGTTGCCTGAAGAACCCAGCCTTAAACCGATGCCCTTCCCTTAATTTAAGTTATTTGATCAATTCTTTTCGAAAGGAAACTTCGCAAAATATGCGTCAGCAGACCCTTTCGGAGAAGGCGCGAAACTAAACCACCGCCGACGGACCACATTCTACAGACCACTCCGCGCCCGTCGGATGCGGCCCGGATCCACTGGCCCCCTGTCCATCCCCCAGGGGGCCCCCCCTGCCTTCTTGAATGAGTTCAATGCCGTACTCAAAACAAAGCTGGACTTCTTCATCCTGAGTGGGGCCTTCCTCCTCTGCTGCTGCTGCTGCTGCTGCTGCTGCTGTTTGGTTTTTAGCAGCAAAGCCTGCGTGGGCGCAGCCAGCTGGGGGGGCCCCCAGGGCCCCCGGGGAGTAAAAAGGAAAGAAAGAAGAGTTAAAGTTTCGATTTATTTTAATTTTATTTATTTTATTTTCTTTTTCGGAGTTTAAGGATTCCCACAAAAGCCGCACCAGCTGCTGCAGCGGGCTGCTCTCGGTGCCCCAGCAGCTGCAAAACAAAATAAAAAAGTAAACAAATAAATAAATAAACAAATAAAATAATCAATTGATAAAAGATAATAGCAAGAAGCAGCAGCAGCAAAAGCAGCAGCAGCAGCAAAAGCAGCAGAAGCAGCAGAAGCAGCAAAAGAAGCAGGAGCAGCAAAAGCAGCAGGAGCAGCAAAACAAGCAGGAGCAGCGAAAGAAGCAGCAGCAGAAAAAGCAGCAGCAGCAAGGGCAGCAACAAAAGCAGCAGCAGCAGCAAAAGCAGCAGCAGCAGAATATAATGAATAAGAGCCCATCAGAGGGAGCAAAAAGCCTAATTATAAAATAAAAATAGAAACCAAATAAATTACCTTTCCAACTCGGAGGGTACTGGCGTCAAGAGGGGCCCCTCAGCTTGGGGGCCCCCCCCACCTGCAGCAAAAGCAGCAGCAGCAGCAGCTTGAAGGGCCTCTGCTGCTGCTTGGCTCTCCAGGTGTACGTACACCCCAGCCCCTGCAGCACCAAACAGCCACAGGGGGGCCCCCAAGAGGGCCCCCTTGGCTTCGCTGCTTATCAGCCAAGCTGCGCTGCGCAGCAGCAGCAGCAGCAGCGGGGGCCCCTCGGGGTCCCCCGGGGGGCCCCCCAGGGGCCCCCCAGGGGGGCCCCCCGGGGGGCCCCCCGGGGGGGGGG